CCGCTTCTTGGGGTCGCTCAGCACATCGTAGGCCTCTGCGATCTCCTTGAACTTCTCCTCCGCGTTGGGGTCCTTGTTCTTGTCCGGGTGGTACTTCAAGGCCATCTTCCGATAGGCCTTCTTGATCTCGTCTTCGTTGGCTCCGGACTGGATCCCCAGCGCTTTGTAGTAGTCCTTCCCCATGTTGGTGGTGGAGACCGTCCCGGCCGCTGCCGCAGACTCTTTATTCCTGGGGAGGGAGAGGAGAAGGAGGGAGAGGGGGTGTCAGAAAGGACTCCAGGCTGACCACTGAACGGCTCCTCCACACCCCCTCCAGCCCTGGTCAGTCCGTCCACACGGCTGCCCGCTAGCTCAGCACCAACCTGCGCTACCGGGGGGGTGGGATTCGAGGTTCTAGCGCCCCAACGTCCAGGCCGAGTCCTGGGGGAGGCCTCTCAGAGCTTTGCCAGCCGCTGCCCCTCTGGATCTGTCAGCAGTTTGGATTGGGGGAGGGATTTTTAAGGCGGTTGACTCACCCTCCTGCTGCACAATTCCCAGGGGCAGAATGCAGAGCGAGCGAGAGGGGTGGTCAGTGTTGTTATTTGGAGGCAGCACCACGTGACGCTGTAACTGGAGAGGGCGGCCGGTTTTGCCAGGCCACAAATAGGTGTGCAGGGAAGGAGCCTTGGGAAGGACAGAACTGGCGGCCCTTGGACCGGACAGCGGAAAAGCAGCTGCCAGGCGTATGTCGAGGGCAGCGTGTGGCCAGGGAGGCGGCAGGCGGCCCTTCCGAGCGCCTGGCCGGTCTCAGCGTTCCCAAAAAGGGGAGGAAGGAGGCAGGGGGCAGCGGAATGTGTTCAAAGCAGGCTTCATAACGAAGCAGAACGAGAGGTTAATTAGCCAAGGAAGGCTTCCTTCCCCCAGCTTTTCTCTCTCCCTTCTGTGCTTTTGCAGATTGCCTTAAAAGAACTTTTTAGAACAATACAGCACTGGGAGTTCACGCGGGGACATGTTCCCACCATGTACCAACGGAAAGACGGCAGAGGATGAAGCTGTTAGACAGAGACATCTTGCAATGGGGGGCGGTGGGTGTTATTTTTAAAAGTAAGTGCCGAAGCGAGAGGAGAGCCTGCGATTTGCAGAGGGAAGCCAGAGGAAGTGACCAGGAATGCAGAGAGTGAGAGGAAACAGGACACACCCAGGCAAGCAAGGGGGCATGTCAGATCTAAGGGACGGTGGTCTTGCTTTGCCAGAGCTGGTCAGCTTCTCGCTGTCCACCCCACACAAAGGTCTCAGACCCACATCCAGACAGGTCCTCTTGGTTTTCAGGCGCCAGAGCAGACAAAATCCTTCACAAAAGGGAGTCCAAGACTCCAACTTCCTTCCTTTGCAGAACTTCAGAATTCAGGCAGGGATCCAACTTCCTGTTGCTAACTCCCCTCTCTTTCCGCTGTTTGCAGAACTCTGATGAACCTCAAGGGCGCTCTCACCAACATGCACAAAACACCCTCCCTGCCTGTCCCTCTCATCCCAGCGTCTGGAACGGCCACATCACACACCCCTGACCTCCGAATAAGATGCCAGGTCAGCGACTGCCCATCTTGGGCCAAACCAGAACCATCTCCGGGGCCCCCACCCAAAGATGCAAAAGTCTCTGGCAGGTGCAGGAGGAGCTGCTTCAGCCACTGCCCCACCTGCAAATTTCCGAGTCAGAACTGGTCCCCACTGACCTTTGCATAAGCAGGGGGAATCAAGGGGGAATTTTGTCAGGAAATGCGAAAGCACCCATTCCCACTCAATTGCTAGACTGATGAAGTTCACAGTCTTCCCTATATTACATTATATATATATAGATTGCACACACACACAAAAACACAAAACCGGGAGTCTTTTCACAGAGACTGCACCCGTTCCAGCCCTAGCAACCATCGACTGGATGTCTGCCAAGAGATTCACACACACAGCACGGAAACAACCTCCTCCAAAAAACTGAACAGCTCTGTGAAGGTCACACGTGAGGCCGTAGCAGGAAAGAAACTCTCCCGTTCGGCCCCCGCCTCCCTGTTCCCTGCTCCGCTCACGGCCTCCCACCCCACCAGGTTCCTCGGGGCTTCTTGGGGGAGTTCCTCACCCCAGCCTCCCACACACCAGCAGTGCCCTCCTTCCTCTCTCCCCAAAAATGTTCCTCTGACAAAGCAACCAAGCGCTCCCCTGTCCCAAGTTCCTCCAAGAGGCTCCAGCGGCACCTGGGGTCACAGGATGAAACACCTGCAGCCACTTTTAATTTGAAACAGGTCAGGTCTCTTGCCTGTGAAGCAAGTCACTGCTATGCCCAATTCACAGATGGGGAACTGAGGCTGATGGAGTGATTGCGGCCAGAAAAGACAAAGACTTGGGTCTCTGAAGCCCAGGGTCTCTCCCTGCCATAAGCACCTGAGAAGAGCATCTACTGGATCCGGCCAAGGGCCCACCCAGTCCAACATCCTGGTCTCACAGTGACCAATGGGGTGCCCATTATGGGAATGAGCAAGTTGGCCCAAGCACAAGAGTCGCTCTCTCCCCTCCTGGGGTTTTCAGCAACTGGGGTTCAGAAGGCCAGGAGCCCTCGATAGCCCCCCCCCTCCATGAAGCTGCCCAGTTATCTTTTTAAGTCCTCTAGGTGGCTTGCCACCGCTGCCTCCTGGGGCAGGGAGTTCCGTAGGAGATGACAGGACAAGCACAGGGCAGAGTGGGGCAGTTTGGGATAAGCAGCAGGGAAATCTTGAAGCTGCTCTGGGATACAGAAGGACAGGGTCACAGTGCCTCCATCAGCCAGCATACTTCTGCCAGGCCCCAAAGTTCCCCGTATATTTATCTCCCTTTCCTCGTTTAATCCCCACCACAGCCCTGCAAGGTGGGCCAGGCCGAGAGGTAGCGACCAGCCCAGTGAGCTTCAGTCCCCAAGGTCTTGACTCCATCAAGGTCACCCCATGAGCTTCATAGCAGAGTGGGGATTCGACCCCTGGTCTCTCCCGGGCCCTCGTCCCACACTCCAACCACGACACCAACGCTGACTCTGACGTCACAGTTGCAGACCCCTCTGGCCAGGCAAAGCCCTAAGACGCCCCCTTCTGCATCCGCACGGCTGAGGCCCTCCTTCTCTGCCGGGCAGAAGTTTAAGGGCCCACTGTGTGTGCCCCCTCCACCGCCAGCCCCACGGCTGCTGACACATGGCGCCCAGAGCACCCCCACACATCGCACTCAGCCCTTTCCCAGAGAAGCATCTTCTGAAGGGTAAGCCGGGAGACAGAAAGAGAGTTGCTGACACAGAAGCAGCCAATTCCCTCTGTTAATTAGTGAGATCACTAGCTGGAAATAAGGCTCCAGCAGGTGGGGGCAGCGCTGACGGGGCTCCTCAGCCCCACTCATCATGGTGGGAGTTTCTATTGTTAGACACGCGGGGACCACGGAGGGAGGGGCAGGCGCACAAGGCAGCCCACGGGAGGTGGGCTTGAAATGCCAGGCTGCATCAGGAGGGAGGGCATTCCCAGGCCAAGCAGCTCACCTGGCGGCAGGTAGCAGCTCTGGAACACACTGGCAGCAAGGAACGCGGAATCCGCAGCGGCGGCAGTTACAAGCTGCTGCCAGAGCAGACGTTCCCTGCCCAAGTCTCAGGTGCTTGGCATGGCAGCTCGACAGGGACTTCACCCACAGGAATGAGGCTCCAGCCCACCAGCAGGGGCCAGGAACAAAGGCATAGACTCAGGCTCAAAGGGGAGAGCATCTCCTTGCTCCCAGCCAGTCTAGGATGGTGTCCCCTTGCAGAATTAAATTTGGCACAACCTTTCTTGGCCAGGATTCCTGACCACCGCAGGGGGCTGGACTGGATGACCCTTGGAGTCCCTTCCAGCTCTACACTTCTACGTCTTCTCTAGAGAGGGAGCCTCCAAGAGCCCAGCTCCACTTTGGACCACAGGGGCCTGTGGCTCACTAAGCAGCCATGCGCAGGTTGCCTCTGAGCGGCCCGCCTGCATAAGCAACCCCGGGCGTTAGGTTAAAGGGCAGTGGGCTAGATCCAGGAGTTGCACCCAACACGCCCCCCCGTGGCGCTGCAGGAGAGCTAGGGGTGCAGGTTCGTAGGGCACAGTGGGGCAAAGCCCCTTGGGCAAACCTGGATGGGGCAGGGGCAAGTACAGGGGCAGGAGGGCCGGGAAGTCCCCTTCCTCTTTCTCCTCTGAACTACAAACCACTTGGGCTTCCACTGATGGAAAGGGGGGGCTGGCGGAGGAACCGTAGACTCAGATGGGACCCTTAAGGGTTGTGTAGCCCAGCCCCTGCAGTGCAGGAAGGAGGGGTGGAAGGGAAGCGAGGAGAGATTACCCCCAGCCTCAGCAGTGACCCAGCAGGGCTGATCCTGCCCGCAGCTCCCCCAGCTCGGAAGGGCATGTGGAAGCGGCCCCCCTCCGACAGGCACCACCAGAGCGGAGAGATCTTCTCTGCGTGGGGGCTGCCTGACGTCAAGCTGCAGGGAAGACTGCCAAGCCTCATAGGTCACCGTGCGGCTCCACCATCCTCTCGGAGCAGCACCCCACACAGATTTTGGTAAAACACGACTTGGCCCCTGGATAACCCCCTCCCTCCCACCTGGAGGCAGATGCACAGTTTTGGCAGCGCAAGCCTGAGCATCCTTCTCAGGAATCCCTGGGCAGCACAGCCCTACTCGAGCGGAAGGGGGGCAGGAGTCCAGTCCCCCCCCCAGACACACACAAAACCACACACACCAGCCCTTTCCACAGATAAATCCACACACAAAAGACTGGAGTCAGTCTCTGCTGGAAGCCAAAGGGGAAATGCAAGGCGACCCCCGTCCAGCCCCCTTGCCGGACCCCCAAGACCACCCCCTAAGCAGCCGGTCTCTCTGAAGCACAATCAGTATGCATCTCCAGCCCCTCATCCTGCCCCCACCCTGGGCAATGTCAGAGCTGGGTCAGGCGGCCAGGGAGACCCTCAGATCCTCCGGCAAAGGGAGCGATGGAGGGGGGGGGGAGAGACAGAAGAGAGGCACAGGCTGTCCTCCTCAAGCTCCCCATCCATCGCCCTCCACAGCAGATGCCAGACGCTGCACACGAGACAAAGATGGATGCCAGCAGACAGACCACCACCCAAGCGTGGCAAACGCAAGCAGGGAAGGCAGGGCGGCCAGCCACTTACCGAAACTTCACAAACACATTCATAGCCCAGGCGCTCATTTTTAAAGGCTCCAGCTTGATCCGGAACATGGCTTGCGGGGCCTGGAGCTCCAAGACGCAGCCGCCGCTGAAAGAGTTGCCCACGAATGGAGGCAGAGGCACCTTCACCACGGCAGCCAGGCTCCAAAAGCAGCCCCCTCCCCAGAGCCAGGAGGAAGAGCTGGCCAAGCCGGACAGGGCACCTGGACCCACAACGCACACCTGTACTCCGAAGCCAGCTGTTCAGGAAGAGGGCGAAAGGCTCACCCCCACAGAGGGAATTTGGGGAGCAGCGGCGGTTCACAAGGCAGCAGCCTCCCAGAAGCTTCCCTTCTGCGCTTTCCTGCAGCCCCCTCCCTCACCGCTTGCCACAGAAAATGCTCAATGAAATCACTCGACAGTCAGGATTCCTCCTCTAATTGGTTTCTCCGACTGAAAAGCAGACCTTACCAGCCTTCCTGCCCAGCTGAGGGGGGGGGGGTCTCTTGCCCTTCTGCTCATCCTCGGAGACTGAGCAGCAGGTGCACAGCCCCACACCGGACAGCCTGTTGGCAATCCTCCCCCCTGAAGGACAGAACAGGGCAGGGAATGGGTGGCCAACTCAGCCCCCAGAGTCATCAGGAGTCGGCTTGGCATCTTCAATGAACGCCGTTTGAGAAGAAGGTGCCAAATTCTTAAGCCTAAGTGGGGAGACAGTCCGCCTCTCGAAAACCCTCTCCCCCCCCAAATGCATACTTCAAGGCTTCCACACAAGAGACAACCGGCTCAAAGCTAACGCCGTCCCTGCGAGGTCCACCAGTGTCAGAGAACGCCAAGGAAAGTGACTCTTGCTTGGTGCTGTGTGAAGTTCAGCGTCCGCAGCCCTACAGCATCCATCCCCGAAGCACATGTCAAAAGCACCAGCCCCACGCTGACTCCCGAGTCTAACTAGCACCTGCGCATGCAGTCACTCCACTTTCTGAAACTCTGGCGCCCAAGTGAGCGCAAGCAAGCAAGAGACCTCACCGCTGAGCTAAGAGGCAGCTCCGGACGACCCGGGAGCCGCTCTGCTCCAAAAGCCACTCTCGGCTGCCGCTGGACGTCCATCCGAAGCCCCGGCAGCAGCAGCAGCAGCCGCAAGGAAGAGCCTGAGAGATCCCTCTCGTCCAGGGATCCCTCCCGGTCACACTCCCCGGTCACCTGGTCCGCTTCAGAGTCCCCAACACCACCCCAGCCGGATTTTGCAGGCAGACAAAAAAAAAAGAGCAAACAACAGCCACACAATGGTCCTTCTCAAACAATCCACAGCCGTCCCCTGAAATTCCAGAGAAGCCCAGACCGGACCAGGGGACCAGATGTCCCCACAGCTGGCAGCGGCTCCTCTGCACCCTAAACAATGGGGCATTTCACCCCCCACCGAACCAGAGGCAGGCACAGCCGCCTGGCCCCGACCCCGAAGGGATGCAGCTGGCGCCGGACCCCCAGGGAGGGGGGTGTTCTTCCGCATCCCCTGCCTGAGGACGGGCAGGGAGAGCGGAGTCCCGATCCGGAGAAGAGAAAGCGGGTACCTCTCCACGCGGCTCCAGAAGAGCAGAATTGCTGGCATATCAGCGGAGGGAGTCACTCGTGGTGGCAGCAGCAGCAGCGCTCAAAGCCCAAGTTTGGTCAAGGCGCGCAGAGTGTGCGGGAGCGAGCAGTAAGCGAGTGAGGGCTGGAGCGCGCACAGGCACCCGCAGGCAGGCAGGCAGGCAAGGCAGGAATGCCGTGCGCTCGCTCAGGCGGGCAGAGGGACCCTTCCAGCACCGCCAGCGACGACGACGACAAAGACGGCAGGGAGTCAGCGTGCAGAAATGTCATGATTACACTCCGGGTGAATCATCGCCAGCCATGCCCACCCGGTGCCCACACAGGCAGCAGCGCCAGGGGAGAGGGAGCCGGCAGCAGCGGCCGCCCCCAGACCCCTCCCCACTCCTCTGACACCCCCCCCACCCCGCACCCACAGCAGGGAAGTCAACTCTCGCCCCTCCTGGCAGCTGGCACTGGCACTCCAGATGCCCCTGGCGAGGGGGGGCTCTGCCCCACTTTGCAGCTGGGACTGGGAAGTGGAGGAGATGTCCAGAGGCATCATGTCAGGACAGACAGGGTGGAAGAGGAGGAGGGGGGAGTTTGGCTGGGCTGGGGGGATGACATCCCCAGGGCGACCCCCCAGGAGACCCCCCAATTGCCCTGCTCGAGGAAGGGGAGGGTCGTCCTCCCCTCCCCCTCCCCCGCAGCAGGGAAGTCAACTCCCCCCCCTCTGGCAGCGGGCAATGGCCCACCAGACTCCCCTGGCGAGGGGGGGCTCTGCCCCGCTTCGCAGCTGGGACTGGGGGGGGGCAGGGGAAGCGCCCCGAATGGGAAGCGGAGGAGACGTCCCATGGCCATCGTGTCAGTTTAGCTGGGCTGGGGGGGGGAGCGACATCCCCAGCCCCCCACCCAGCAGACCCCCCCCACCAGTAATTGGAGCAAAGTGGGGAGGGGGCGACAAGTCCCTGGGGCATTATCCGTGTGTGTCCCCCCACCGGCCCAAGGAAGGGGGTCGAGTTCCAGCCCCCCCCCCATATCTCCCCACGGGGGGGGGGAGCCCACTAGCCTTTTCCAGGGGGCGTTGAGGGGGCGGGGCCAGAGCCAGAGCCCCGCCCCTGCCCCTCTCCCCTCGCCCCGGAGGGCGCCGCCGCGTCCCCCCCCCCGCCTCCCCCTCCGAGCGAGACTCACCTCCGTCCCGTCCCGTCCCGCCCGCCTCCCTCGGCCGGGCCCTCTGGCGCGCGGGGGCCGGGCGCCCGCCCCTGCCTAGCAACGGCCCGCTCCGGCGCCGCCCTCGCGCGCCTATTGGCCCCGCCCGCTGCCCATCTCGACCAGACGCCGCTCCCTTTGGAGAACGAGGCGGACAAGCACCGCCCCCTCTGCTCCGCCCCGCTCCCCTCCCCGGCCTCCCTCAGGCTCGCTCTCTCTCTCCCGCTTCCTCGATTGGCCTCGCGGCCAGCCAGTCACGCCCATTCTCGGCTGTCATTGGTCCCTAGGAGACCGGGGAGCGGCCCCCTCCGAGTGCGCCCTCGCCATTGGCCGGAGCTGCCTCGCGTGCCGGTTTTGGCCCCGCCCGCCCGGCGCAGAAGAGAAGCGCGCGGGAGGCTTCTGGAAGCCCCGTGACGTCACAATGGGGAGCGCTCCAACCAGGGAGCCTCCGCGGGAGGCCACGCCCACCGGGCGGGCGGGGCGCCACGTGGAGCGCCGCTACACGCGAGTAGAAGCTGCCTGGCCAGGCGGTCTCCTCTCCCGACTGGGGCTCCGCACGAGCCTGGCCTCCGGAGGTCAGCTGGCGCAGGATCGTGGCCTCGCATGCCGCTTACTCGCGAGGAAGCCGCCCTGGCCCCAGCGGCCCTTGCACGCTGCATTCGTGAAGTTTGCGCCTGCAAAGGTTTCGTCCTTTCCGTCCCGTGCGAGTCCGAAACTCCTGCTGCGGAAAGTGGCAGCTCGTGTCCTTAGCTGCATTTATACAGCAGGTTTTTTGCTCCAAGGAGTTTCAGGCGGCGGACACGTTTCCCCACCACCCCTCATTTAATCCCCACAAGAGCCCTGCGAGGTAGTGGTGGTGGTGGTTGTTTAGTCGTGTCCGACTCTTCGTGACCCCCTGGACCAGAGCACGCCAGGCCCTCCTGTCCTCCACTGCCTCCCGCAGTTTGGTCAAACTCATGCTGGTAACCTCGAGAACACTATCCAACCATCTCATCCTCTGTCGTCCCCTTCTCCTTGTGCCCTCCATCTTTCCCAGCATCAGTGTCTTTTCCAGGGAGTCTTCTCTTCTCATGAGGTGGCCAAAGTCTTGGAGCCTCAGCTTCAGGATCTGTCCTTCCAGTGAGCACTCAGGGCTGATTTCCATCAGAATGAATCGGTTTGATCTTCTTGCAGTCCATGGGACTCTCAAGAGTCTTCTCCAGCACCAGAATTCAAAAGCATCTATTCTTCAGCGATCAGCCATCTTGATGGTCCAGCTCTCACTTCCATACATCACTACTGGGAAAACCAGAGCTTTAACTATATGGACCTTTGTTGGCAAGGTCAAGGTAGTGGTACACACCACAAAGGCACCCCAGTGAGTTTTATGGGCAAGTGTGTGGATTCGAACCCTTCTCTCTCTCAGGACCTGTTCCCATGCTCTAACCACTATGCCACACTGCCTCTCCACTCTGTAACAGCGAAGCAATGGCAAAACAGAAGGATGTTTGGATGGGCCAGTGTAAAATCCACCCCTAAGCTGCTCCTCTGGCTTCAATGACCTGTGGCTGGATGTCAGGGAAGGAGGCACCCCAGAGAGGCCCTAGGATTGCAGCCAAGCCATTGTGGCCATGTCCTGATCTTGGTGCCAGCCTGTGGCAGTCTTTGCCTCTTGCTCTCCCTTCCATGTAACCCAAAAGAGCTGTGCCTCTTGCTCTCCCTTCCATGTAACCCAAAAGAGCTGTGCCTCTTTGAACGGGCGAGTTTAGGAGAGCCAAGGCAGCCTGCGCCACCCGACTCTTGGGTCAGAGGAACGCCAGGGTGGACCAGAGGTCATCCCTTTATTTTTAACAATTGCATAGAATCCCACAAGCAGCATTTGAGCACAAGAGCAGCCCTCTCCGCTCCTGCAGTTCCTAGAAACTAGTATTCGGAAGATGTATCACTGCCTCGGACTGTGGATGCAGTGCATAGCCATTGTGGCTAGTAGCCCCCGATAGCCCCCTGATCCTCCATGAATTTGCCTCGTCTTCTTTTAAAGCTGCCTAGGCTGGTGACCAGGGACGTGGGTGGCGCTGTGGGTTAAACCACAGAGCCTAGGACTTGCCGATCAGAAGGTCGGCGGTTCGAATCCCCGCAACGGGGTGAGCTCCCGTTGCTTGGTCCCTGCTCCTGCCAACCTAGCAGCTCGAAAGCACGTTAAAGTGCAAGTAGATAAATAGGTACCGCTCTGGCAGGAAGGTAAACGGCGTTTCCATGCGCTGCTGCTCTGTTTCGCCAGAAGTGGCTTAGTCATGCTGGCTACACGACCCAGAAGCTGTACGCCGGTTCCCTTGGCCAATAAAGTGAGATGAGCGCCGCAACCCCAGAGTCGGCCACGACTGGACCTAATGGTCAGGGGTCCCTTTACCTTTACCTTAGGCTGGTGACTACCCCTGCTTCCAACCTTTCTGCATTCTACATAGGACAAAGAAGCAACAGACACAAATTCAGAATGTTTCCATCTCCCTAGATATCCTGCTGCCGCCTGGAAAGTTGCCTTCATGCAGCAGAGCGACTTGGAGCAAATTGGAACTGAATTGGAGCAAATAACCAAGTGTGTTTCTGTTCTTCGGGGACTGAAGGAAAATAATGGCTTCCTGTCCCCCTTTAGGTGTTAATTTGCTTAGCAGCAAATACAGTTGTT